ATTGCCCTGACTCCCAAAGCAGAAGACATCAAAGACATTATAGGCAGACACGCCGGGCACGAGGGGTGCCTGCCGGCAATCCCAGCACTTAGGAGGCTGGGGCAGGAGAGTTGCCAGCCTCGGCCGCATAGTGAGACTCTCTCTCAAAACAAACTCCCAAAGAACATCATGAATCAATATCTCTCATGAAAATAGATGTAAAATCCTCGGCAAATCCCATGCAATGGAGTGCAGAAAGCATCCTCTGGGCCATGACCAGCTGGGATTAGTGGAGGAATGCTGTTAGCGCAACAGATAAAAACCAGTGTAATGCACCGTACACATAAGATAAAAGAGCTACGGCCATCTAACTTAAGGCAGCAAAAATGTTTAAAACTAACACTCTTTGATTATAAAAATGTCAACAATCTAGGAATAGAATAGTATCCTCAAGCTACTGGAGGACAGCTCCCAAACCCCAGCCCACCCCCCTGCTAACACCCCTTGCTCCCGAGCAAGGATCCACTCTGGTCAGGTCTATACAACTTTGCACTTGAAGTTCTGGCAAGGCCACTAGGGGGAAGGAGACAAAAGGCATTCACATGGGAAAGGTGGGACCAGAACTCCGTATGTGTGCTTGCATGTGACATGAGCTCACATGCAGAGGAAAGGAGCTGGGCGAGGGGCACACGTCTCTAACCCCAGCACTGTGGGAGGCTGAGACAGGGCTGCAAGCTCGAGAACATCTCGGGAACCTAGCGCCTTAGAGACCCTGCTCCAAAATAAAAAATTTTGCAAGGGGGGGTTGAGAAATGGAGCTCAGTGTGAAGGCCCTAATACTAAGTAAAAGAAAGGAGGGAAGGAAGGAAGGAGGGAAGGGAGGAAGGGGGGGAGGGAAAACTACAAAGAACAGACACATAGATGAAAACTAGCACTAATGAGTTCAGTGTGGACACACAGCACGAGACAACTGACTAAAATTAGCTGGATTTCTGGGCAGGGGTGTAACTCAGTGGTCGGGTTCTGTCCTAGCACATACAAGGCCCAGGGCTTGATCTGCAGCACCAGAAAAAAATTACAAATGATAGCAAGGAAACAATCCTATGTAGAATAGTGTTTAAAGGAGACAATTACAGCCCGGGCGTGGTGGCATGCACCTGTAATCCCAGCACTTGGGAGGCCGAGGCAGGATCAGTGTGAACTTGAGACTGGCCTGGGTTACAAAGTGAGTTCAAGGCCAGCCTGAGCTGCACAGGGAGACCCTGTTTCAAAAAAAGAAGAGGAGGAGAAAGAAGAGGAAGAGGAAGAAGGAGAAGGAGAAGAAAATAATACTTGGAAGTTAATCAAAGTGGTATAAGACTGTACATTGAAAGTTATAAACCACTGTTGAAAGATATTAACAATCTAATGGCTATTTTGGGACTGCGTGGAGCCGCAGACATTCCTGCTAAGATAAACTCTGTCTTCAAATTAATCTACGGCTCAGCACAGGCCCTGCTGCAGCCCCAGCTGGCTGGGCCAGGCTGTCGCTCTGCAGTGTGTGCTCACCTAGAAGGTGTGACACGGGCCTGGGCAGATTCCCAGAGCCACAAAAGGAAGAAAAACAGTAAAACAAAATCCCAGAAGTATTCTCTTCAAAAATTGAGAAGCTAATTCTACAATTCACTTGGCAGGTCAGGGAACCCAAAATAGCCAAAACTATCTTGAAAAACAGGAACCAAAGTAGAGGGCTCAAACCACCCACTTTCAAACTCAACTAAAATCAAGAACACTTAGAGTCTAGTGCTAGATTAAAGACAGACTATAAACCAATGGGACAGAATTGACAGGGCAGAAGTAAGTCCTCACATTAATGGTCAACTGATTTTTCACTTCTTTACTGAGTCAGTTGGGTTCTGTAAGGCTGCCACAGAATTTCACATGGAAAGAAGAGTCTTCGCAAGGGCTGCTGGGACAACTGGATGTGCACATGCAGAACACTGGAGCGGGAGCCCTATACGTAGGTAAAACACACACAAGGTGCATCAAACCCCTAGTGTAAGAGCTGAATCTACAAAGCCTGAAAGAAAACACAGGAGTAAGTGCTCATGGCCTTGTACAAGGCAGCGATTTCAGAGCTATGACACCAGGAGCACGAATAATCAAAGGCAAAAGTAGGTGGAGTGGATTGCATCAAAATGAAAACCTGTTGTGTATCCACTGCCATGGCAGTGCACTGCCTGAGCCCAAGCACCAGAGAAGCTGAGGAAAGAGGGCTGTGAGTTCGAGGCCAGGTGTAGCACACAGTGAGTCTGAGGCTAGACCAAGCCACAGTGCCTAGTAAGATCCTGTCTCAAAACAAAGCCAGATCACTAGAACTGAAGTTTTGATCCCAGCCTGGGCAATTTTAGCTGCTGAGGGTGTCGCTCAGTGCAAAGGCTCTGGGTTCAGCCCCTACCTCCTGTAGAACACAGTCAAACAACAACAAAACTTGTGTTGCTTCAGAGGACACTAGAAACAAAATGAAAAGATAGTACTAGAGTGGGAGAGAGCATCTCTATATAATGTATCTCTATAAAGAACTCTTACAACTCAATAAAGATACATGACTCAAGGATAAAGTGGAGAAAAGACAAGCATTTATTCAAAGCACATATACAAATGCCCGTGTGCTCATGAACCGAGTCGGCATGGCACTGGGCAGGGAGGCCTGCCCGAGGATTGTTGCCAAAATGACACAAAAGAACTGCAGCGGGAGGTCTCGTGCTACTCTGCTGATTTCCTGGGAGAGGCTAGGTTGTAGCTGGCTTTCCTGAGAGGAACTCGGCGTTCTCTTTATCGCTGGTGCTTGGGTCCTCAAGCTCACCAAGGATGGCTGCAGTTCTGCTCTCGGGAGCTCTGGGCCTTGCCTTGAGCGTTGTTTCCCAGCCCCATGCAGATGCCTCAGCCCGCTGGCACAGATCCTTCATCCTGCTGGCTTCCACCACTGGCCTTTGGGCCTTCCCAGCGCAGATCTTGGTACAGGCTTGCATGAGACACTGCCACGGGCTCCAGGCCTCGGGCTGGACTTACGCAGGACACTGCTGAACTCTTTGGGTCTCCAGCTCATGGACAGATCTCTTGCACTCTGCTCTACTTGGGTTTTTTTTTTTCTTGTCTTTTTGAGACAGGGTCTTGCTATGCAAGTGTCTGAAGTCCAGGCAGGCTGGGAGGTGGGAAGCAGGAGGGAGCATCCAGACTCCGCCCTGAGCAAGGCCGGGGTGAGCCTGAGGGGCAGTGGCTGCAGCGGCACGGCTGGTTCTTCCCAGCGAGGCCACGCTGCCAGGGCATTCCTCTAGGTAGGCTTCCTCTGGTTCCATTGTGACACTAGCTATCACTGGACAGGTGACATTACACAGAGCAAGAAGTGGATGCCACATGACTGGTTAGGCGCTGGTCCTCAAACCAGGACACTAACCTGGGTGAGGTCACTCTAGTGGGTCCTGTGGAAGTGGGCTCCTCCCCTCTGTGCCTGCTCCCCGCCACTGAGAATGGCTGTGAAGGCCAGGTGTGCAGAGCACTCTGGAGGCTGTGGCGGGGGGCTGGGAGGTGAGCCCCACGTGGGTGAATTAAGAAACCTGGTTAGACCCTGACTCAAAATACAGAATAACAGCTGGCAGTGCAGCTCGGAGTAAAGGCCCTGACGTTCAATCAACAGTACATAAAAAGGAGGAAAGAGAAAACTGTACCGGGGCATCCTGTCTACCGTGGCTGCACAGAAGTGTCAGATCCTTAGAAGAAAGCAGAGCTCTCTGCCTCAAAGGTCCTACTCGAATCAGAAATCAGTATCAAGGGACAAAGCATAAAAAACCCATTCACCACCTGCCATCTGCTCTTACAGCTAAACAAAGCTGCACTTTGTGACTATATCCAGTGACCGCGAAGCCCCTACGTGGCCCTGACATGTAGTCCCCGTGTGAGCAGCCCACGATCTCAAGGTTTCAACTGTCTGCTTGCAGAACAGAGCCCATGACACCAATACCGTTAAAGTTGCTGGCAAGGGCCAGTGAGGTAGCTCAGTGGACTAAGCACCTGCTCTGGCAAGCGCAGGGATCAGGGTTCGAGTCCTAGTCCCGTACGTCGCCCTGGCCCCGCCCCTGGGCACGCTAGTGGGCGAGCGAGTCCAGGCGTGGTGGCGCACACCTGTAATCCCAGCACTGGGGCGGCTGAAAGCAGGAGGCTCACTACGAGGCTGAGCTGCAAGTGAGACCCTGCACCAAATACATAAATGAAGAAGAAAAGACAAGAGTTGCTGGGCAAGTGGAAAGAACGCGCCCTGCGAGCGCTGGCCGTGAACCAAGCACAGCAACTCCAGCACGCTAACCGGCACGGATGCGGAGCGCAGCACCTGGGGTTCAGAGCCACCTCAGCAGCGTGGGGGCCGCAGACACGCCTCGGGCTGAGGAGGAAGCCCTGAGCTTCCAGGAACAGAGCAGACGGCTGTCCAGAGAGGAGGAGTGAGATGCCACTGGGAGGGCAGGTAGATGCGCGCGTGGTGCCCTCACACTTCTGAACCAGTACAAATGAAACAGCCCACATCGGCCAGCCCACAAGACAGACGAGGTGCCTGTGGCTGTGGGAAGAGGCTGCCAGGACTCTAGGACAGACGGCGCTGCGATGCCCCAGCATCCACAGGAACTTCAGCAAGGGCCTGGCGGGGCCGAAGCGGCTCTGGGATGGCAGCTCAGTGGCCTCCACACTGGCCATGCGGGGTTGTGATTCTGCAAGACGGAGGAAGTGGGGCTCCCCTCTTCCTCTCCCTCAGTGCTCCTGTGCTTGACGCAGACTCCGAGCCCTCAGCCTGAGAGGGCGAGTCAGGGCCGTGACCTAAGCCTGGCAGAGTCCAAGCCCCACGGGGTGGGCACCGCGGGCACCGAGGAAGTGAGGAGCAGCACTTGTACACCCCTGGGCTGGGCCGCGTGGGCTGACCCAGAGCTGCGTGGGGGGTTAGCACGCAGATACTGCTTTCAATGCCACGTGTGCTTATCTTTCATTTCACTCACACTTGGTGTAGAAACTGCATTCCGTGCCATGCCTGAAATGTTCCAAAGCTCAGTTCTGTGAGGAGATTGCAGCGAAGATTTCTAAAAAAATAAAACCGGACATAAGTGGCTGGGGACATAGCTGAGTGATACAGCACCTGCTAGGCAAGTGTGAGGTCCTGAGTTTGATTCCTGGTACACACACAAAAAGACATAAACCCAAGGGGGGGGGGAAGAGGGAGGGGCAGGGAGGAACTGTCTCAGAGGCTTTGCCATGTGGCAGTGACTCTAACTCATACGCAATGAGAGTGACAGCACCACTTCCTGAGTGCACGCAGAGGCCTCACTGCGGACCACGCCGGCTCACAGCTCGCGCGCACGTTCGTGCTCACGCCGTGGTGCCTCAGGTGCGGCATGGCGCGTGCCCAGGGGCGCTGCTGCTTGCTCTAGCCAGGGCTCCACGGCTCCAGCGCTGCAGCTCTGCGGCCGGCCGGGCCGGTCTTTGCTGGGAGGCCCGGCCTCACCACGGCAGGCGTGAGCAGCCTGTGCCCAGCACAAGCTCATGGCATATCCGGCTGCCCCACGTCGCACCTCCCGAGAGCCACACTGCTGCCACTCACTCTGCCCTGGCAATGAGCCTCACAGAAGCTTAGCTAGGAGCTTAAAAGGCTGTATATAATTTAGTAGTGTTCTACTAGTAAAACTTGAACCATGTGCCAATGGTTAGCTAAGGTGTATATAAAATTCCAAATATAATGAACTTCTATTTGGAACTTACACGAACTGCAAAAAAGGTAGTGACTCAAATGTCCCTCTTTCAACTGACTGTATTTTATTGCAGGATAAATCTCTAGGAGAACGAAAAGGAAAAGATTTTAATTAGCTGGCAGATATATAATTAGCATGATAGAGTTAATACTATTGAACCTATAATAGTCTAATCTCTTCTTTTTTTTCTAAATCTTTCATGTATTTGGTACAGGGTCTCGTTACACAGCTCAGACTCATAATGATCCTTCTGTCTCTGCCTCCTCAGTGCTGGGATTATAGGTGTGTGCCACCATGCCCGGTTTTAGTTTTGGTGACCAGCACAGTGTACTGGGGATTAAATCTGGGTCCTTGAGCTTGCCAGGCAGGCGCTGAGACTCTGCGCTATTTCTGCAGCCCCTAATCTCTCCTTAACCTTTCCACTTGCATCTGAATGTTCTGGAGGCCCCAGGTCTGCCTGTGTCTCTGCTGGACTCTCTCCTTTACGATCTCTGTGCACAAAATACACAACTGTAGAGCTGGGTAGACTTTGGATGGAATCTTTCCTGATGGTGGGAGAATTATTAGGTCACCTTGTATAGCCTCATTAAATCCAAGATTATGAGCTCAAAGTTTTAATCCCTGTATGTTCTAACAACACAAGGCATGTTCTCATAGTCACACAGCTTCCTGGTTTCATTCTGTTTTTCTAAGCCAGTTCAGTCCCAGCAGACCTAAGAGATATCCTTTCATATCACTAGAAAGGCCTTTACTCTTCTAATCCACGTACAACTCTGAAATAACTTAGAATTTTACTTTCTACCATACGAATGGAAGTTCATCTTTTGCTTCATATTCCTTAACATTTTATGAATATAAAATACACTCATAGCTCTGGACCCCAAGGACAAAGCATAAAACTGAAATGTTCATCATACACACAAAAAAGGGTCTTGAGTTCGATCCCTGGTACCACAAAACAAATTTTCACCCTGAAGAACATGACATCTTCTGATTTCTAAACTGATACCATGCAACTATTTCCTTCTGGCGACAGACAGGAAAGATTTTTATTCTGCGATCAGTGACGAGCGAGGGGCATGTGAGCGCTTCCTGCGGAGCGTGAGCACCGCTAGCTCTCCCGCCTGTCAGTTTCGATGCTTATTTTAAGCCTGGGCGAGAGCCTTTCCTCCTTCTGGTAGCTTAGTCATCTTGATGAGATTATTTTATAATTCATCTGTCTAGTTAGTTACTCAGCACTGAAGGGTTAGTATCATTCAGAATACACCGCCTAAGCTTCCTGGCTGACTGGCAGAGAACTATACCCTTGAGTGGCTTACATCTTCTCCTGAAGCCAACACTGTGTGTTCTACTAATCCAACTTCGTTGTAAAGGCCAGACGTATATTTTCTGCTTTTCAGGCCACACATAGTTGCCTTTTTCATTCATAGAATTTAAGATCATCCTTAACGTTTGGGCTAGATAAAGACAGGCCATGGACGCCATTTGGGCCACAGACCACGTGAGCCATGCGGATGGCGGAGAAGCACTTACCAAGCAGGTGCGTGGCGTCAGTCAGCGCCTAGGGTTGCTGGCGCCCCCTCTGCACGTGGCTTCTTTCCCACCTGAATCTGGCCTGTCTGCACATACGCAGGTGGCATTTGGGCCCAGAGACGTACTGGGTCTACACGTTCCCACCACTGCAGAGTGACTACTGGAGGGGACTGCAGAGCCGGCCGGCCTGAGCTCCCTACCCTTGTCATGGCTCACTCAGAACACCCATAAATACATGAGTAGCTAACTTACAGGTATTGCAGGGACAGCAGGCCTTCAAAGGAATCTTTTCGTAATTCAGTCAGGGAATTTTCACTGAGATTTCTGCAAGATGAAAAGTTTATTTCTGGATCAAATTTTGTGAAAAAGACAGAAAATGTATAGTAGTTAAAAGAACAAGGAAATGAATTCCTCCATATTCTGGTGCCCAGAGTGTAAACTCGCAAAGGTCTTTCAAGGGAAATTAGGGTTTCTTCTCTACAACAGTCATCACTACAACGATCGCATTTCTAGATCTCTATTGGACAGAGTGACCTACCAAGTCTCCCAGGCAGGCACACAGGAAGCCCACTGCACCCACACATGCAAACATGGAAGCTGGACACGTCCTGAACATCCATCGTAGGAGGATTATCACATCAGCACGGTGGATACGCCCTGTGACTATTATGCATACGTGTGAATGCATAGTGTGATCCTCTACATATGGGAGGAGAGCGCCCAGACATGTCTGAAGGGGAAGATTCGAGTTGCAGAAAGCTCAGCCAGGCGCTGGACACGCCGCGCTGCCACATGCAGCCGTGCATGGGGGAGTGCTGGAGGCGGGCCTGGGTGGGCACCCAGCAGGCCCAGCAGCAGCTGCAGCAGGGTGGGGAGTTGGGTGCGCAGGGAGCTCCCCCTTTACTGCTGTCTGGCTTTTACCCATTAAGAATGTGAGCACGGTTATCTGACTGACAGATGATAAGCATGAAGTGTTTCTTATTTCGGGAGAAGCCACAAGATCTATTTCCCCATTTTTGGCTGCAATGCCAGATATGGAGCCCAGATCCCCGTCATGCCGGCAGTGGGCCGCCCTGAGCACTCATGACATTCCCCTTGCGCAGTGACCAGAATTGCAACTGCAGAGGTTGACTTGGTATATGGAGGAGGAGCGCCTGCTTTCACAGGCGCTGATGTCCAAGTTCCGGGCCAAGCAGCTTACTACAGTGCAGATTTTCAATCCCCGTACTCACAGTTTCTCAGCCCACTGGTATGTTGTCCAGATATTCTTATCAAGGTAAGAAATGGAGTTTCCTTGGAAATTGCTGTAAAGAATAGTCAAGAAATGAGCGGAATTGTAAAAGGACCAACGCCTCCTGTAGGGGTATTCAGACACAGACGGGAGACACGGGCTTTCTGATGCCCTGCGCTACCAGGGTCCCAGCTTGGGTCCTGCTGGCCTGACAATGACCAGGCTGCCCCAGAAGCTTCTCTGGGGGTCTTCGCTGCCTAAGCCCCATGGCAGGCAGTGCTGCTGAGTGCTTGCAATGGATGGAGCTGACAACCACGGCCGTGCCTCAGGCTCCCAGTAACTAGGCTGTGTTTGCTCACCTTCACCTCACGACTTGATTCTGAACAAGGATGGCACCCGTGGCCACAGCCACTGCAGCACTTACTGATCCCCCGGCTCCCCACCACCTCTACCTTTGACATTTTTTTCTGTTTTATTTCTTGTTTTGAGATAGAGTCTTGCTAACTAACTGAATGGCCCAGGCCAATCCTGAGCTTGCCATCACCCCACCTCAGCCTCCTGGCGTGCTGAAGTGACAAGCGTGCATCCCCCTGCTCTCCCTGCCCTCCTTCTCCCCCATCCTGAGGCCTTTCCCTTTTATTCCGATCTGCATGCTTCATGTTGGGTAGACAGAGCTGTCTTTCTATGACTACAGCTGTGCTTAGCCCTGGCTGGGCACAAAATGCATGCCAAGGTACTAGGCCAAGAATGAACAAGAGCCTGGCATCACTGAAGGACTCGTGTATATCCGGCTGTACGTGCGCCATCTATTCACTCTCCTATTCAAAGTCTTGCCAGCCTAGGAAATGACAACTATGACAATTCCCATTTTACAGATGAAAAACTAAGTCACAGAAGCTACTATCTGCCCAAGGTGACACAATAAATAGATAAACCACTGGGCTCGAACATATGCAGTGTGGTTCCCCAGCCTGCCTCCTCTGTCTTCAGTGCTCTTCTCTCTCCCTCTGTGCTGAGGATGGAACCCAAGACCGTGACATGCTGGGCAAGAAGCCTCCCTCTGGGCGGCGCCCATGCCCACAATCTACTCTTAACCCCTGAGTTCTGTCATCAGCAATGGAGGTATGTGGAGAAAGCTGGAGAGCAAAGGCCAAGCGATGATGCGCTGGTCTAAATCACAGCAGGCACGGAGGAGCAAAGGGCAGCTGCATATGGCAGACTGGGAAAGGAGTGCAGGGAAGGGACAGCAGGATGAGGGTAACATGAAGCGGGGTGTCCGCCTGCTGGAGGGAGGCTGAGAGGAAGGGCAGCCACATCGGGCAGAGCGGGCTGCAGAGGAGGCAGAGGATCTTACAAGACGGTAAAGGTGGTGTTGTGGGCCCCGGGCTCCAGGGCAGGAACTTGTTTCAGCCTCTTCTCCGGGTCGAGGCCAGTGCACGACAGGGTCTCCTCTCGGCAGGAGCAGAGCTCACATATGTCCGTGTGCGTCACGACACTCTGCTCCTTTTGCAGAGCAAAAGCCTTCTCCTCCAAAGGCTGAGTGGTGACTCCAACCAGACTTTGATACTGAGCTGGTGTCTGGCCTGGGGGTGGCAGTGTGACCCCAGAGTGCACTGAAGGAGGAACTGTAGACTCCTGCAGGGCTGCAGAGTGTGTGGCCTCTGTGGTGGTGCGAGCCATGTCTGAAGGTTGCCCTGTGACGCTGTGTGATGCTGAATGCTGAGCGGGCTCCTGAGCAGGGGTTGGGGCATTCTCAGGAGGCCCTGGAGCTTGAGGTACAGTCTCCTCAGATAGTCTTGGAGGCTGAGAGGGGGTCTCTGAGACAGTTGGAAGTGGTCTAACTTCTGTAGGTTGTGGAGTTCTAGAAAGTTCCAGGTCTGAAGGTCCAACTGTGATAGCAGTCAGGTTTGGATGCTGAGCTGGAGCCAGATGAGGGGGTGACAGCGTCACCTCAGGGTGCGTTGCGGGAGGAGCTGTAGATTCCTGCGGGGCTGCAGACTGTGTGGCCTCTGTGGTGGGCACTGCAGCTGTGGTTGGCTCCTGGTCCAAAGGTTGCCCTGTGATCACAGCTGATGCTGGAGGCTGAGCAGGACCTTGGCCTGGTGTTGGAACGCTTGTCTCCCGAGGTGCTGGAGCCTGAGAGGCAGCCTCCCTAGCGGGGGCTGGGGGCTGAGAGACAGTCTCCTGCACAGCTGGAGAGGCTTCAGTTTCTGTAGTCGATGGTGGAGTTCCAGTAAGCTCTGGGCCTAAAAGGCCAGTTGTGCCTGGAATGGAGATTTCATAGAGAACTGTCAGCTCAGGGCGCCTTGGAGAAAGAGCTATAGATTTCTCCTCTACAGTGGCTTCTGCAGTGATGGTGGCTTCCAGAACCAAAGGATGAAATGTGACACTGGGCAGTGGTGGCAGAACTTGATCCCGACCCAATGGTGGAACTGTCATCTCGTAATGTGTTGGAGGGGGAGACGCACTTTCACTGGGTGGCTCTTGTGAATGCTGAGGTGGGTCCACTGCCTGTGTTGGAGAAAGTTCTACCTCCTCAGGTAGCTCTGGAGATGGAGACGGAAAAGGCAGCAGCACTGGCTGGGGTCTCCCTTCAGGGAGGTCTACAGGCTGAGGTGGCATCACCTGCTGAGCTGGGGAAGTTTCCACCTCCTTAGGTGACCCTGAAAGTGGGGCTTCAGCCTCCTGGGGGGCTGGAAATGGTCCTGTGTCCTCAGGTGGCACTGAAGGCTGGCCTGAAAATGTTATACTTTCTGTCAACTTAAAAGCAACAGAGGGTCTCCAAGGCTGAGTCGAGAGCTGATGCTGGTCTGATTCAAGTGCAGCTCCTGCCGTGGAGTTCAGGGGCAGAGCTGAGCTCTCCTGCTGGCGTGGAGAATACTCCCTGGGGAGCTCTGTGGGCTGGGTGGGGACCCTGCTAGGCAATGGGGGAGGTGCAGGCTTCACAGCTGCATTGGGCTGCTCGGTCAAACCCTCTTCCTCATTGGTGAAAGGTCCAAACTGCTCAGGGGTCACTGAGGGCTGAGCCGGGGCCTTCTGTTCTGTTGAACTTTCAATTCTAACCCCATTAGTCACCTCTGGAGGCTCCATGGTGACACTGTCTAATGCTAGAGGTTGAACTTGATCACTAACTAAAGGAGAAATTGTTACCCTGTGCTGTTCTGGAGACTGAGCTGTGACTTCATGAGGGAGCTCTGGAGGCAGAGGTGCAGCCTTTTCAGAGGTTTGCAGCTGTTCTTCCTGTTGGAAGGCTTCCGGCTCTTTAGAGGGCTCTGGAAGCAGGGTTGGGGCCTCCTTCAGGGCAATGGGAGGGTCCATGTCATCCAGTGGAACAGAGTGTTGTGCTGTAGCGTCATGCTGGGTTAGGGAAGTGCCCACCTCTGCAGTGGCTTCTGGCGTTAGGGGGAGCTCTAGGTCTGGAGGTGTCACTGTCAGCCTAGACAACTGTGAATACTTAGCTTGGTGATGACCTGCAATTGAAATTGTTACTTCTTGGTGTGAAGGACTTTCATCTATACTCTCCAGAGGGGCCTCTGGAGCTTCTGGAGTTTTGTCTTCCTC